ATTTTCAATGTTGCAGCATTGGTTCTATTCTGGGGTGTAGGGCTGAAATTCTGCAACTTGATGTGACAGATGTCAAAATGGATACCCTAACCGAATGACTATTGTTTCCTTTCATATGTGGTGGATTTTTGAAGTGGAAAAATATCGGACTAAATGCAAGAAATAGCAACCTACTTTTATCTGTTTGTCTATTGTAACATTTTAATTTCTTTTCTTTCTATTATGTAACTTAAATTTTTTTTTTTATTAATTATAGCAGTGGAAATGACTTTGTATTTGGATGGCCATTAGTGTAATTCGGTGTATTTTTCAAAATGCAATGCTGTAATAAGAATAAATTTATAAAAGTACGTTGTTATTTCTTACATTTAAACATTTTCTATTTTTATTGCAGATTTTTAGTGGATGTCATGCAATTACTTTGTTTTTGTAACTGAGGGAATCTCGTCTCTGTTGATTGACACATAAGGGAGCATGAAATGACGGGAAGAAAACATGGTTGTATTTTTTCCATGTAATGACCTGTATCTCATTGCAAGTTGTAAATTAATTTGCACACCAGCTAGCTGAAATTAGATTTTGAAGAGTGCTTTTAATAGGCTCCAAGGGGTTCCAAATTAATTCTTACATATGTGAGTTCTAAGGTGTAAATTAATTCTGACTTTCAGAATCGTTATTATTATTATTATTATTGTGGCATAAAAAAAATTGTTTTTTGTCATGTTGTTACCATTGGGATATAAAAAAGATATCCAAATTCATGAGGAAATTGTAGTTAGATAAGAGGAAATCGCAGATGGCCTGCAATTTCAAGGGAAATTTAAAACTAAAAAAAAAAATAACTCTTATATCTATACGTTTATACCTTATTTTCGGGCCATGAGCCGAAATTGGGGACAAATTGCAGCCCAAGTAGAGGAAAATCACAGCTAGAGGGTATAGAATCGCAAGTCAGCCTAGCTACCTACGATTTCAATGACTATTTTTAGAAAAACCGGATTCTTTTGTTGTTTTTTTTAAAAAGTCATTAAGATATTAGGCTAGATTTGTAATTTTTTTTTTTTTGAAAAAAACTACAGTTTGTAATAAAACAACTTCAGTGTGCATACTAGCATGCACTATGATTGGAAAACGCATAAGCTTCTTGAATGTATACTTTTTTTTAGCTTTGAAAGTCTCGGTGTTATTTTTTTATGGTTGTTGAAGATCCTCTGTAAGTCTAAGACCAAAGGGTGTGGATGCGGTTTCCTCTGCAGTCTCACCGTATGCGGCTAGTTTTGGTCGCACCTTTCTCTCTTTTGCTTTCTCTTTTCCCAACATTGAACGGTCATTTTTTTAAATTTGAATTTAATTTTTTTTATAATCTTTTTTACCTATAAATAGAACTTTACAACCCCTAATTTACCAAACTACAATCAAATTCTTCTATCTTTCACTATCTTTTTTTTTTTCAAAACTCTCAACATGTCTTCTTCCACCAACCGATTTATTCATCTCCGCTTTATCACAATGATGGTATGCTATCGTATTATCCACACAAATTCTCACAACGACCAACACAAACACAAACACAAACTGTACCCGACACTGATTTTAATCTGTTTGATTTTCTATCTCAACCAGAATTTGTTCAAGAAACTCAAGCACCCATTTTCGATTCCGAACCCGAATCGTTTGAGAAACCCAACCCACTCAAGCACCAAGTAAAAGAAAAGAGAAGGTGGAAACCAAAGGATGGGAACCCGAAGAAGTGTTAGTATAAGCACAATCATGAATCGATATTTCAAAAGATGTGAAGACATGAAAAAGACCAAAAAAATGACCATTTTTTGAGGCGAGTTACAAAAAGGTTCCACGAAGGAATGAGCTTCCAGAGTATCGTTCAAAACATTAAGTGTACTTCAAATGGGGGAAAACAAACAAGGAAGTCATGTTGTTTAATGATTTGTGTAACATGAAATGTCAATGAAAAAGCGGAGAAAGTGATGAAGTGATTTTAAGAAAGCTCTAAAAGTATATCATCAAGAAAATAAGAAGGCGTTCAAGTTTATTGAGTTTTGGAATGTCGTGAAAGAAAACAAAAAATGGAAAATGAACAAACATCCGACGAGCATATCGATAGTGGTTCAAAGCGCTCATTAACATTTGAATCTGACCACATTACATAAGATGCTCGTGTTGGGTTCGACCTCAACGATGATGAACTCGCTCAAGTTACACCACCTTCCTGACTAATGGGAAAGGACAAAGCAAAACGCAAAAACAAATACAAAACGACAGATTTAGATGACTTGAAAGAAATGGGCGACGATATGAAGGGTATAAAAGAAAGAATAAATAAATTTTTGCAAATTGCTTCCGAAACCAAGATTCGGAAACAAAGGGATAGTGACATGAAAGTACTAGTGATGGACACATTGCACATGACCGAAAAAGAGCTCGAAATTGCTTTGGCAATGAAAACTGACATTAAAAAACATTATGCTAAATAAGTTTAAAATTTCTAGTTATTTCTAATCGGTTGTGTGGTTTTTTATGCTATGTATATATATATATATATATATATATATATATATATATATATATATATATATATATATATATATATATATATATATACTATGTTAAAACCCGTGTGATACACGGATTGCCAAATTAAAATAGCAAAACTAATACATAATAAATGGTTTGCAATAAAAAAAAGCAACAATATTCAAATCTATTTGCTGGAATGAATCGCAAAATGTTTCCGGGAGGAATGGAAATTTGAATATGAGGAAATTTGATTATGAAGGAATTGTAATCCGTCATTGGTAGGGTATGAAACGAAATTCAATAATAAAATGTAAACAATTTTATAATTTAACTTAGTTATTTTTTTCAATATATAAAGAGGATAGTTTTCTTTTTTATAAATGAAAAAAGAAAGAATGGAATTGAATTGAATTCATTCAAACTATATCTAGGACTTGTGAAAAGCATTAAACTTGGAAACTGAAGGAAGTTGGTGGAATTGGATTCCATCAATTTAACAACCAAACACAAGATGGGATGGAACCACAAATTCCGATTGTGTAGGATTCCACCAGAATTTGCAAACTAATTGAAAACCAATATCACATTGTATCCATGTGACAACAACAATTTGGGCCATTGAAGCATATATATATATATATATATATATATATATATATATATATACAATATCCTACAAAAAATAAAAAACAAATGTTACCATTTATAATCAAACTTACATCAATCATTTCAGCAAGTCCAGGAATGGGGTTAAACTTCCATCAACACCTTTCAATGTAAAATCAATTCTAGGTTTTGGATGAAAATTTATATAAAGTTATTAGAAAATATGAAAAATACACATTAAGTGATGAATTCATACGTCATACCTCGGAATAAAGGGTAAAAGTGTCCAAATTCATCACAACCTTTCCACCTGACAAAAATATTGCAAGACACTACCATTAGTACCATATAATAACCCTCAACACTATTCCTCATAGTAGTAAAAAAAATAAGGAGTAAGGAAGGGTATACCATCCTTGCAATCTACAACTTGGGTATACCAATAAGCAAAACTGGGACAAATACAGAAAAAATGATCTTCCCTAAAGCATTATCAATTAAAATTACATCACTAATTTGAGATCTTTCCTGAACCATCCATCCTTAAAGTTCTTTCTATCATAGCTATGCCCATTATACTTTACTCACAGTTCAAAAGTGGGTATCCAAAAAGCATAAGAATTTAGCATCATTGCATATCTGCAGGTAAATGAAATTCAAAGAAAATGAGAAAATTAAGATATCATGTATTTGAAACTATCTTTACTATATTCATCAATTACCTAAAGTAATCTTGGCTCTTCGCCTGTACCCTCAAATTCCATTGGTAATCGATGACAGTTATCACCAAAACTTGCAAGAAATCAAGATTGATGCACTATAAATGGTAGTAAAATTCCCACAGAGTGAGGATGCAAGCAAGTGAGCAACCAAGTGAGGATCTTCAAAAGTCTCAACACTTACTAATAAACAAAGAAATCCAGTAAACAACCAAGTGAGGATCTTCAAAAGTCTCAGCACTTACTAATAAACAAAGAAATCCAGTAAAGCTCAAAAGCTTCAGCACTTACTAATAAACAAAGAAAAAAATATAGATGTGTTTCCTACTTATTTTATCCCTATTCAAAAAGAAAACCTAGCAGATAGATTAGATGCAAAACACATGTGATTAAGTTTAGATATGATTATGATTCCTTATTTCTTGATATGAAATTGCTGATTTCTTGCTATCGAATTCGAAACTGATTGCCGATAATTTTGTATATCAATTCAAACGTCAATATTAAAGCTGAAGCAGAGGGCATTTGGGGAAAATCACTTTGGTATTTTGAGCGGGAAAAATCGATTGGGAGGGCTTAAAGAAAGAATGACACGTGACAAAAATCTACATATTTATTAGATTAGGGTATATATATATATATATATATATATATATATATATATATATATATATATATATATATATATATATATTAAGTAATGCAAGGTTTTTTATTTTTAAGTAATGAAATGTTATCTTTTGTATATTAAAATTGAAATTTTTATTTAAATTATATTGTTAAAAAAAATGACACCAGACCTAGTTTGTGGCAAAAAAACCACAATGACGAGAAAAAAAAATATGATTTCTATGGCACCACACCCTTTGGTCTAAGCACCAACATGAGAAATTCACTATTCATCGTTGCCTGATCGTATTTTGACAATTAAGGATTAATTGGAAAGCTCTTTCAGATACTCGAGTTCCACAAATAAAACTTACTTTTATTCTTTGTTCAATAATCTTATCAATTAGGTTTTTCATCACTTCTATAGATCCCTTCATCCCGTGGATTTCTAGTCCCAAGCGATGCTTATCTCAAGATTCTTTCAAACACATAAATGCAACAGAATAACAGAAGTTTTTGAAGAGTTCTCAACACACAAAAAAGGATGCATTCATATATGCCAACATAAGAATAAGCAAAAAGAAAAATACCCAAAAAAAATGGTTCTGAAATGTCTACACAGACTATAAAATTATCAACTTCTGGTGGTTCTTATATCACCCATCTCATAGCTTTTCACAAAAAGGAACAACGTAGTGCTGAGTTATTGACCAAAAAACCACATGGTGTCACTTGTAGCATCTAGTGCTCACCAAACATTTGTCATATGCTTATTTCAAACAACAAAATACAATTACTAAAAAAAACCTTGGCGAATTGTACAAAAAAACTTATGCACTCTTCTTCACTTCAGCAGCCTTGATGATGTCAATGAACTCCGGCTATTATAATAGACCAAACAAACAATTAGAACAAAATGAGAATTTGAAATTTTGCTCCCTAGTTTTAACTTGGACTTTTTCAAAAAATAATTACAAAGATTTGATCATTATAGAAAATAGTTGATTAAGAAAAAAGAGAGCAAGAATTTACCTTGAGGGAAGCTCCACCAACCAAGAAACCATCAACGTCTGTTTGTCCTCCCAATTCCTTGCAATTGGAACCACTAACAGATCCTGCAATGTCAATGTCATATTGTCATGCCAATGTTTTTAGACCAAAATTAAATAAAAATATGAAAATACATTGTGATTTTACATATCTGTCCATGAAACCAAATCACAAATTCCAATTCCACCCAAAACACATCATTAATGACAAGGTGGAAAAATAAAGATACCTCCATAGATAATCCTGGTTGAAGCAGACACTTCAGCACTGACATTGTCACTAAACCATTTCCTCAATCCTGCATGTACCTGTTACATTGGAAGTTGAGAAATGAAACTTAAATTCTTACTATTTATTATGTTTAAAACATGCAAGTATGTTGCTATAATTAGCATAAAAAAGGAAGATTTATATATGATGATGATTCTGTGATGCTCAAGTGAATTATTAGAAGGCAGAAACTATATTTGGGTCCCACTTACTTCTTGAGCCTGAGCTGGAGATGCAACCTTTCCGGTTCCAATAGCCCAAACTGGCTCATAAGCCAAAACAACATTGTCCCAACTTGAGATTTTATCTGCAACAAAAAAATTACCAAAATCAAAATCACAAGTGACATAGAAAAGACATTGTGATTTCTTGCATTAAACACCGAAATCATAACTTTTGTGTGCAAGTTACTTATTATATCAAGATAAAACAAGATTTTGATTTTTGACACACATAATGGTGTACAGTAGAAGCAAGTTTAGTTTTAAAATAATTACCAGCAATTGCCTTGGTTTGTGCAGCAACAACTTCCATGGTGGTTCCAGCTTCTCGTTGCTCAAGAGTCTCCCCAACACAAGCAATAACCTTCAAACCTTGAGATAGTGCGTATGCAACCTTGTCTCCAACAAACTGAATGAAAAAATAAAAAGAAAAAAAAACTTTTTCAGTAACTTGCATACAACACTGATTAAGATGTTCACAAGGAAAAGTGTGTATTGATTTGAATAGGCTGAGTAAAATCTACACAACGAAAAGGGTACCTCATTAGTTTCATTCAATAGGGCTCTCCTTTCAGAGTGACCTAGGATGACCCAAGGGATGCCCAAATTGGCAAGCATCTCAGCACTGAAAATATAGAAAACCATCTTCAGTATTTAGTAAGAATCAAGAAGAACAAATCATAAATAGGAAATTGAAAAGTTTTAGCAAAAAAAAAAAAATGGATGGTAAATGACACTTTGAAACATACCTAACCTCACCGGTGAATGCACCACCCTTCTTAACCCAACAATTTTGAGCTGCAACTTGGATTTCAGGCCTCAATTCACTTTTAACAGAGGTAAGAAACACAAAAGGAGGGCTCACCACCACCTCTGCAAGAATAAAGGATTGTTGAGAATTGAGACATAAGATGAATACCTTACAAGATTCAGAGGTTATACATATAAGATCTATGCCTTCACGAAGAACTTGGGGCAGATATCATATGTAGGTTACTTACCAACAACATCGGTGGATGGAATTTGACCAGCATTAAGTGTAGCCACAATCTTCTTCACATCCTCGGCAGTTCCATTCTACCAAATGAAATATCAAATCAGCAAAATGAGATTTCCAAATTCAATACTCATATTATATCCTACCACAAGTAAGTATACGTTAACACTAAAACAGAGAAACACCATTGCATTCAAAGAGTATGTTTCTTTCTGTATAGAAATCAGATCATCACTGTTGACTTTTTAATCAAACTTATCACTTTTTAAATCCATAATCAAAATGAAATTTATCTCGCCTTACTAATCCATAAAACCGTGATCGCATCATCTAGCAAATGCAAAGTATGCTCAATGCATTTGACATAAATTTCCAGTAAATTTATTATTAAGCAGAAAAGTAGACAAGAAATCATCAAATCAGTACTAATTGATGCGTATCCTGTGATTTTCCTTTACCTGATCCTTTCAGAAAACATTTTCTCGAACTAAATTCGGATCCAAAATGTGCATATCAAGATCTACTCAATCGAACCTCGATACGAGCATATGGCTACTATCACTTAGCTCGAAAAACAGATTCGTTGATACAGTGAAAATGAAACGAAAAAAGAGTATAGTGTTAAGTTAAAAGAGTTCATCAAGGAGGAATCTGCTTACTTCACTCGAAAATCAGATTTGTCAATACAGTGAAAATAAAACTTTGCGATTAAAAAAATAGAATAGTTCATCAAACACGAATCTAACTAGATCATAGACGATAAACTAAAAACACGATCAAATTTGCGTTCATGTGCTTGATTTACAACAAGAACTGAGATCAGATACTTACGCATTTCCAGTTACCACCAACGAAAAACTTACGACCCATTTTGATCAAAAAAATTCGACTTGCAGAGAAAGAAAACTCGAAAACTCCGATGAGATTAGGTAAAGTCCAACGCAGATCACACAGATAAGAATCGCCTATTTATATCGAATCTGTGGATCGCCAGATTAGTGAAAAGACGGAAGTACCCTTGGTAAAGGTGAGAGGATCCGAGAATATGCTTTATTCTGAGACTGAGTGATGTATATTGAGGAGTATTTTAGTAAATTAGTACTGTAGCCGGTTTATAGTTAGCTCACGGGTTTTCTTTGACGCAACAGAAAACCGGTTCACGGTGGATTGAGTTTGCTTGGTGGATTTGGGCCTATTTCTCTTGTTTATCTCGAATTTTACTATTTTTTCCAACCATTAACATTATTCATGGTGTGCAAAAATAGGTCCAAACCCATAAAAAAAAGTCAAATCAAAGTGTACGGTTATATAACTTATATTTGTTGTTCTTAAAAATTTATATATAATTCATTCTTAGTTCTATATATTTTTAAGAAAAAAAATCTAAATTTAAGATAGTTTAAAAAACCGGTTGTCTACCCATGTCAAATCTCAAACGGAACTAGTTTTATTTAGGTTTTTTACTTTTCAAACCTGGAAGATGTCATTTTATAATCTTCCATTTGAATGCGGTTTAAACTTTTGCATGGGTCTAGTTCTAGATTCAGTTTTAGTTCTTTCTTGTTTTGTCCGGTGAACAACTTATTTTTTTTATATTGATATAAGATGATGTAATTTAGGTTTCAGTTGATTATAAATTGTGTTTGTCAAATCAAGTCTACCTAAACATTTCTAATAAAAATATGGAAAATACATACAACACAAATTAAGCTGAAATTCTTTGCAAGTTCGTTCATATGTGTGACATGTGAATTTCATAGAAAACAGGTTATTTAATTTGATGATATTTTAATTGAATTAAGTATTGAAAATATTTTCTAGTTTAATTGAAACGAAATACTAAGGTTGGGATTGTTTTTGCTTTTTTATGGAAATACTTTGGGTTTTCTTAATAAAAACTTACATAATGAAACATTGAAGAATCAATTAACATCCTCAAAGGTTTAGTTACACGTTAAGTACTTATGGTAGTGCGAAACAATAATAGTGAAATGGATAAGAGAATAAGTTAGGGGTCGTTTGATAGTTGTCCATTGAGTTAGAGCTGACTGGGTTAGAAGCTGATCGAGTTCAAAGTTCTGACTGAGTAAACTTCTGACTGAAACTTGCTGTTTGATTTTGCATCTAACTGATAGTACAAAATGACTATATTACCCATTGACAACATTTTTTATGATTGTCTTTAAATGGTTGGAATGGTTGGAATGTGATTTAGGTTTCAGTTGATTACAAAATGGTTTTGAAAGTAATTTAGTAGGGTTTTGAAGTTGGAATGAAGAGTGATGAGTGAGGGGAAGTTTGGCCGAAAATAAGAAGAGAAGGAAGAAGAGAGAGAGAGGTGATGGATTATGCATAGATACATGAGATTTTCTTGATACTTGAGGGATAATTTGCCTAGATAACCTCTAGTCCATTTTGAGGTGTCAAGTTTTGATTAATTGGGATTTTTCTCTTTTTTTTATACACACACACATATATATATATATATATATATATATATATATATATATATATATATATATATATATATATATAACCGAGAATGAGAGGTAGAAGTAAGAGCAAAAAGGAAAACTTGGGCTAATATTGAACGTTTTCAAGATAATAGGCCCAATAAGATGGTTCTCGGTCCATTGGGCCCTTCTTATGGGTTTACGGCCCAAAGGTGATGAAGGAATGGGGTTTACGGCCCAAAAATGAGGAAGGAATGGGGTTTACGGCCCAATAGGGCTTATGAACCCATTTACGACCCATTAGGCCCATGATAATAAAGTGAGTTATTTTAGGCCCAAATGCTATGGTTTGATGAATGTGGGTCCAATTAGAGCCCAAATGGGGTTCTTTGGCCCAAAATCATCAAATGAAAAGTTTACTGGCCTATTAGGCCCAGTAAGAGGATCCTGGTCCATACTGAGTTTGAACCGGAACATTAGGGTTTCAAACCCATAATTAAGTATCTGAGATGTATTAAGTTAGGTTTTTGGACTTCCCTCAGGAGTTTTGATTCAAATGGATGTTTTTGATTGAGCATAGAACATGATATCCACTTAGATTACAAGTTTTACAAGAGTCGATGTTTACATGAAAACAGAATTTCCTAGCTAAAAATGCTAGTTGTGACATCATCCCCCCGTTAGAGGGAATTTCGTCCCGAAATTCTTTTGAAAGATAGAACTATGAACGAGAGAATAGGTGAGGGTACTTCTGCTTCATCTGGTCTTCGCGTTCCCAAGTGAATTCCGGTCCATGCTTAGCGTTCCATCGAACCTTCACAATCGGGATCTGACTCTGTTTCGTACGCTTCACTTCCCTATCCATTATCTCGACTAGGGATGGGATTTAAAACCGAAAAATCGGACCGGAACCGGAATCGGACCGAAACCGGAACCGTTAGAACCGTAATATATAGAACCAGTTCCGGATCCGGGTTTAAAAATTGGCTTTATCCGGGTTCCGGGTAATCCGGGTTCGGGTCCATCGGGTCCGGGTAAACTGGGTCTAAGAACCGGAACCGGTGTTAGGAACCGAAACCATTTTTAGGGACCGGAACCGGTTTTTGTGAAACGTTTAAAACATACATATCTCATTCGTTTTAAGCCGGATTGAGATACGGTTTTTCCAATGTGTAGTTTAGAGTTTGTAGATGATTTTAGACTATAAATTTATTATTTTTAGTTTTATATTCATTGATTTACAGTCCCCTAAAGTCGAGATATCAAAGTTGGAAGTTTTTAGTTTTTCAACTTTTTTGTATTCTGTGAAAGTTTTAAAATGTGCATATCTTATTCGTTTGAAGTCGGATTGACATGAGGTTTTTCCAACTTGTAGCTTAGAGTTTGTACATGATTTAAGACTATAATTTTGTCATTTTTGATTTAATATTCAATGACTTACAGTCCTCCGAAGTCGGGATATCAAAGCTGAAAATTTTTAACTTTTTCAGCTATTTGTTTTTGTACTTTGTATTATGTGAAAACATTAACACATGCATATATCATTCGTTTAAAGTCGGGTTGACATGTATTTTTCTCTGGAGTATATTTTAGAGTTTGTACATGAGTTTAGACTATAATTTTGTCAATTTTGGATTCATATTCAATGCCTTACAGTCCCCCGAAGTCGGGATATCAATATGAAAATTTTCAAAGTTTAACCCACTAAGTATGAAGTAATTGCCAAAAAAAATTCGGTTTTTTCGGGTTTTCCGGTTCTAAACCCACTTTATCCGGTTCCAACCTACCCACTATGATGTTTCCGGGTTTTCCGGTTCTAGACCCACTTTACCCGGTACCGTACCCGGAACCGAACCGGAACCGGTTCCTATATACCGGTCCGGTTTCCGGTTCTATAAAATTTCGTTAAACGGTTCCGGGTTTTCCGGGTCCGGGTTTGGACCCACTTTCATCCCTAATCTCGACCGGTTCTTCGACGAACATGAGATTCTCGTTTATTTCAATCTCTTCCAGAGGAATGATAAGAGTTTCATCTGATAAGCACTTTTTCAGATTTGAGACGTGGAATACGGGGTATACGTTGCTGAGCTCCGCAGGTAGCTGCAGCTTATATGTCACCGGACCAACTCGGGCTAGAATTTTGAACGGCCCGATGTATCGTGGGTTTAGTTTTCCCCGTTTTCCAAAATGGACCATTCCTTTCCAGGGAGAGACCTTTAATAGTACCCGATCTCCGACTTGGAATTCTAGAGGTTTCCGTCATTTATCAGCATAGCTCTTTTGTCGGTCACGCGATGTTTGAAGTTGGGCTTTGATTTGGATTATCTTCTCTATTGTTTCTCGAATGATCTCCGGTCCTGTAAGAGTGTTGCTCGGTGATTGCCCTTTTTCCAGCTGGGTGTCACCCACCTCAGCCCAACAGAGAGGCGATCTACATTTGCGACCATACAAGGCCTCAAAAGGAGCAACCCTTATACTTGTGTGATAGCTGTTGTTGTACGAGAATTCAATCAAAGGCAAGTGGGTATCCCATGACTTGCCAAAATCGATCACACAGGCTCAGAGCATGTCTCCAAGGGTCTGGATGGTTCGTTTGCTCTGGCCATCAGTTTGAGGGTGGTAAGCAGTGCTCATGTCAAGTTGTGTTCCTATTGCCTTCTGGAGTGACTGCCAAAATTATGAAGTAAATCTACTATCCCGATCCGAGATAATAGATACTGGAACCCCATGAAGTCTGACGATCTCTTTTATATAGATTCGTGTTAATCTTTCCATCTTGTACGGTTCTTTTATTGGCAGGAAATGGGCGGATTTGGTTAACCTATTGACAATCACCCAGATAGCATCCAATCCGTCTGATGTCTTAGGTAATTTGGTTATGAAGTCCATGGTAATCCTTTCCCATTTCCAGTCGGGTATCACTGGCTGTTGTAATAATCCCGAGGGCTTTTGATACTCCACTTTCACTTTGGCACAAGTGAGACACTTGCCCACGTAAGTGGCGATCTCTGCCTTCATATTTGGCTACCAATAATGTTGTTTAATATCCAGGTACATCTTATCTGAACCTGGATGGATGGAATATCGCGTCTTATGAGCCTCGTTCATGATTATCTCTCTGAATCCCCCAAATTTTGGGACCCAGATTCTATTCATGAAGTAGTAAGCTCCGTCCTCTCTGACTTCGAGGTTTTTATCCATCCCACGCATCGTTTCATTTGTGGCGTTCTCCGGTTTCAATGCATCGGATTGGGCTTCCTTAATCAGCGAGGTTAGGTGGGAGTGGATGGTTATCGATAATGTCTTCACTCGACGACCTGAGTATTTTTTCCTGCTTAGGGCATCAGCTACCATGTTAGCCTTACCTGGGTGGTATTTGATCTCGCATTCATAATCATTTAGCATCTCAACCCACCTTCGCTGCCTCATGTTCAGCTCCTTTTGGTTTAGAATGTGCTGGAGGCTCTTGTGATCCGTGAAGATGGTGCACTTCGTACCATAGAGGTAGTGCCTCCAAATCTTTAGGGAGAAGACCACAGCTCCCAGCT